ATTTGAATATAGTTTTAAAATAAAATATATATGACTTAATCAAAATAATTTTGAAGTAAACACATTGCATGAACTTTTCATTTATTTATTATATTTTATTTTCCATTAAAAAAATAAATAAAATTCTAAAAGACGATGTGCAATTTATTGAATACAAAATAATTTTAAAAAATACAAACTTGTTTAGTTTTAAAATTCATTTAAATCTCAGGATTGACCTTTCCCGAAGCTTGCATTGATTTATCTTTTTCTGATAAATTCATTGTTTCTGTCTTAAGAACGGTCAGTAATGCTTGAGAACTTTGCAGTATCTGTAAAGATTAAAAGATATTCTTTTATACATAATTATACTTTAAAATTTAATATATTTATATAGTTATATTGAAAATTCATTATACAGTCGACCCCCTATAACATGGTAGATATGTTCCGGTTTTTATGAATCCATTTTCTACGAGTCCAGCCAATCACAGCCCGGCACGTATGCAGTTTACAAAGACTGTTTGAAAGGTTTCTTCCATAAAATTAATCGCTTCTACACTAATTCGACTCAACATTTCCAAAATACGTATAATTTTTTGGGAATAATCCATATAAACTATGCTATAAACAAAAAATTGTAGGATTACTTACTGAGCATGCACCGTTCGACTACGCCATTGCTTAAGCTTGTTTTTGTTGTGGAGCTTGTCATCGAATGGTGCTCGCGTGCTTCCTGATAAATTATTTTTTTTTTTGCGAAAAATTCGCTGAACTTTGGAGACATCATTAATATAAACACAATTTTTATGGACTTTAAATAATAAATGGTTTTTAGTAGGTCCGCTGCTCGTTTAAACTCAATGGTTTGTGCAATATCCGCTATTGGTGTAGATTTGACCAATCCTATCGCAACCTGAGTCGGCAATGACGTTTTACTGAATTATACGAGTTTTTTTAGCGTGTTTGTACAAATACTGTCGCAATTTTTTCGCCGTGATATAGGAATCCGAACTATAGGAACCCATGTTAAAGGGGGGTCTACTGTATTAAGGTTTAGTTTATGTACTCATTTGTTATCACTAATTACTACTGATTTTCTTTTCAGAAATTTATATTCAAATACATTCTGTTTCAGCTAATTTAAATTTTTATTATTATAAGTTGTCTATAAAATGACTAAGAAAATTCAGGTTTGTCTAAGTGTCAATAAATCTAGTGTTTTGAATACTTTATTACAACCAGAGATGGAAAACATTTTGTGTGGCAATGTGTGGTTGAAGATGATGATGATTAATTTAAAAATGCTTTAAAAGTAGCCTAATAATTCTCTTGATAGTGATGAAATAGGTTAATACAATCAAAGTATATTTGAAATTATTATTTAGAGGCAAGAGTCTGAGTTGGACATTCTAAAATTCTAAGAATCGGAGTCAATGGCTTGTCTCTGACTTCACAGCCCTGCATAAAACTGTCACTCAATCTCATATACTAAAAAATTTATGAATATTGTTTTTTTTATTTTAAGTAGAATAAGAATATTTCATGTCAAAACAGAGCTTTAAATATATTTTAAAATCTGAAAAAAAAAACAAAACAAAACTTGACAGAATGAGGACATCAAAATAATCCAGAAATGTTTTAAGATCAAATAAGTACATAACTAAAACAATTGATTTATAGCTACACACTAAAAACATTTTCCTATTTAACAATGTATGGGACAGTATGTGTAGAAGTGACAATAATAAAGCCTATTAGGTTTTCTTATTGTCACTTCTGCACATTGTACAGTACAGTACAGTACAGTACCTGTTTCTTATAAGGGACAGTTAAATTTGGCATTTGTTTTATGGTCAGATATCCTTCCTACACCATCAACTCTTATCCTCCTCTTATCCAAATCTCACCATCACCCTCCTCTCTTATAGCAGACTTGAGACTAGCCAGAGCTACACAGCTCTATGTTAGGCAAACAACAGCTTCCAATATTTCTGGAAATTTCCAACTGGACTGTGTTTATTAGATCATCAAAATTAAGTAACCTGTGTGCCCCAGGGCTTAAACACAGAATCAAGTGGCAAAATATTGTTCTAACACAAAAACTCATTATGACTGGTAAAACAACATTTACCAGTCATAATGAGTTATTTCACAGTTAATAAAGTAGTATGCCACACTTCTTGAAATTGTCAGACAACATACAGCATCACAAAAGTTTCAGCTAATCTTATGATGTCATCTTGACAGGACATTACAAAATTTCAAAACAATTTATAAAAGCTACTCTGATGTGCATAACACTTCAATCACACTGTATAAAGGACTATGAAAGTTTTTTATTATGAAAAATTAACCCAAAATCAACTCCTCTTCCTGCATAGAACAAGAGAAATCAACTATACAGTGGTACCATGGTATACGTCTGCCTTAAAATACGTCCCTTTTGAACAAAACAAATTTTGCTCGGTATACGACTTAATTCAATTATAAGCGCCATCTATAAACAAGTAGCACTATCGGTGTACTAGACCAGACTAGATGTTTGCAGTACCACGGTTTATAACTTTGTTAAATTTCTTCTGATTTTAATTTGTAAGTAAAATTTTATTATTTTTATTAATTATGAATTGCAAAAAGGCAAATGAAAAGCAACAAAAAAATAAAAAAATGACTAGAATCACAATGGAACTGAAAAAAGAGATTGTTGAGAAATATGAAGGTGGCGCGCATGTTCGAGATTTAACTGTTGCATACCGTATTCCGTGAACGACAGTATCGGCAATCGTGAAAAATAAAGACATTATTAAATCTGCTAACGTTCGAAAGCGATTAAATCGATTTCTAAACATTAGATCATGTTGAGAAATTGCTTTTGCTTTGAATAACTGAAAAACAGTGTGCTGGCATATCAGAAGCAATTATATGAAAGAAAGCTAAAAAGATACATCCTGATCTCATGAAAAATCAAGCAGGAACTAGCCAGTAAGAGAGATGTTTAAAGCTAGCAATTGTTTTTACATGAGAACGGATTATTCATTTTTACATTACTTCTTATGGGAAAGGTTGATTTGGTATACGTCCTATTCAGTATAAGTCCAAACATCAGGAACCGATTAAGATCGTATACCGAGGTTCCACCATATGTGATTTAAGAGTTGCACTTAGAGTCAACATTGGTAAGAGCTGTTATGGTAATACATCATAACATTGTAAGAGTATAATGATCATGCTTCTTATATTTTGTATCTATAAATGATCAGAAATATTGCATGAACTGTACTGATAACACTCTAGAGCCACAATAGTTTGGCCACTATTGTTACATAATACTGTACCTCCAAATCTTTAATAAAAGTTGCAATTTTTGTGCCGAGTAAAGCTTACAAATATAAACTTAATACTGCATTTTAGTCCAGAAAACAAAAGTAAAATTTTGTAAATAGACTTATTTTGATCATATAATTAAGAAATCTAACAAACTGTTAGTTGCAAATTTATCAGAACTTTTGACATTGCAAAAGGCAGATCATAAATGATGCCATCTGTTGAAAATTAAACACTCAATAATCAGAATGTCAGAAATAAGCTTACACTTTATCAAACATTAATTTTGATATAATACCAGCAACAAGTTGCTCAACTTTTCAAGCAATATTTAAAATTTTGGTGGCATCATTTGTTATCATATTTTATTAAAAACTTTTTATATCTTTAACTATTATAAAATGGTAAAAGGCTTAATTTTTGGGGTTGGATGGTCTTATAAAAGATTATAAATGCTAATAACGAGTAAAATAGTCATTAAGTTCGACCATACTAGAAATACATACAACCCCCATTAACACCTCATCCCTTGCCCTTTAATCACCAAAATTTAATATCATCAATCTCCCTGAAAAATTTCAGAAATTTTCAACAAAAAACACAGGAGTTATTAAGCTTCAAACAGGGGAAGAAAATATGCCCTCCACACACATACACTAACATCCATACATACAGAAATTACACTCAAATTCTTAACATTTCAAGTGTCCAAAAATGTAAAAATCTTGGGGGTCATTTTTTGATCGATCACCATACTTTCCCTCTGTTATATATAACAGCCAGAGAAGTAAAAAATAATAATATTGCTAATAGGATTTTTTCATATCATCTATCAATAATTTCTAGGAGTCCAAAAATATAAGCACTTTTGTCTTTAGGCACTGTATCTTAATTGTCAAATACAAAGTTATTTTGAAGTCTCAATCCTTTTGTGAAAATAATACGAAAATCATTTGTAAGTCATGTGAAAAATGCTGACCAGAGGAGGAAATTGCTATGGTTTGTGCACATTTGAATGGATTAACCTATATGGAAGTACAAATCTGTTATTCATTTGTAAGGTAAAAGTCATTTCTAATTCTCTGTCAGATTCTGTTAATTGCATGAGCTATACACATGATGTGTTTTAAATTCCGGTAAGAGGTCTTAAGTTGTGAAAATGCGGGAAGCAAGTAACTTGCCTTGTCTGTTACAACAAATCACACCTTGTCATGAGCAACAGTTGGCCATAGACTTACCATAATACTATTGAAGATCTGTATGACTGTTATCGAGTTACTTTTATTAAGAAAGTGAATTTTAAAGAACATTGGCCTGACTTTTTTCTATTCAGTGGTGCAACTAGCACCACTTGGACCCCAAGCAAGCCTTCACTTCCAGATATTTGAATTTAGATATAACCTGGCAGTTAATCACGGCACCAGCACCCAGACTCCAAGCAAACGAATGCTTGCTTGAGGTCCGGCTGGCACAACTGGCAAGTGCACAGCACAGTAAATGGGGATTGCATAGTGCAACTAGAATGTTAAAAACAAACCTATTTAGTTTATCTATTGTTTTGCCTAGCACAATATCAAGTCACCTATAATTTCTTTGATTGTTACATTATAGCATATAGCAGATTGATATAAACCTTTTGAAGTGCCTGCTATGTTTAAAAATTGAGCCCTCTCCCTATTTATAACATTGATTTTCAGAAGTTATCAATTAAAATATTTTAATGGTATTAATAAGCTACAACTTCGCAACTAAACAACAACCTTATGAGATGTGCTTGAACAGTTTATACAAATCATTAATATTGTTCAAGTATTGCTTATATACTCTATTAAAGCATCTCTTGTAATTTTTACTAACCTTTTGTAAATGAAACTGAAATTAAACTTAAAAAGTACTTTCATAGAATTAAGTTTTTCTAATGTTAATATAAGATAGAAGTAAAATTTGTGTGTGAAATTATTCCTGTAACAATATAACTTTTTCAAATTACTACTGAAAGATATCAGTTAGAAAATATATGAATTCATTAATCATGAAAAGTTCAAAAAAGCTTTCATATCCAGCTATATTTGAATATAAGAAGCAAAGATCCAGCATTTGAAAAACCAGAGCACAGAATATAATATTAGGATGCAATTTTTTATATATTAATATATAAAATGTAAAAAATTAAAATGTTTATTGATTTTAACTTAAAGAACAGAAAGTATTTTATTAATAATTTAAATTTATTCTAATATCTTGAAAAGATATGTAGAATAGTGTTTTTGTAGAATTTTTAACAAATTTAATTCATGTAGTACCACTACGAATATTATACATTATAAAACAAGACTGAACTATAGTATACAGTCCTTCCAGCAATAATAGAACATACAGTGATCGCCTAGAAACTGCTTATTATTTTTATATAACTTTGATGAAATTTTCTAGTATGTTTGATAGCAAAATATCAACTATTATTGCACAAGTTTGAAGAAAAATTATTAATAGACAAAAGAACTAGATACTATTAGCAGAAATAGAATGTCCAACATTAATAGAACATCTTCACTTATGATATCTTTAAATTGAAATTAGTAGCTGATTTTGCTGCTATTTTTGGAAACAAGCTTAAAAATGTGATTAAACATTGAATTAATTAAAGACTGCAGTCATTCTTGTGGAGTATTTTCCCATGCCTCAACGAGAGCAGTCTTTAGTTCAATAACGGTCTTGTATTGCTTTCCACTGCTATACATTTGGAAAACCAAGTCACCCCAAAAATTTTTAATTGGGTTTAAATCTGCACTGAGAGATGGCCAGTCCAAAACTCAAAAGTTCTTGCTCTGAAAAAAGGATAAGGTTGATTTTGGTACATAGAAGCTTAAACTATCCTGCAGAAACTCAAAAGTTCTGCTCATAAGTTTGAAGCTGCTTTCAGACAAGCTCCTGATAAGTTTGAGTTGTTTCAACCTTCAATAAATACTAGATGTGTCTTTCCATTCCATCCAATCCCCGCCCAAGTCATAAGTATACCACCACCAGCTAATCTCCGAGTACTGCTTTTGATCTAGTCTTTTGTCTGTCCAATAATACTTAAAACCATCAGGTCTGTTGAGATTCCACTTTTTCTCATCTGAGAAAATTACTTTTTGCAACACTTCCCCTCTTACAAAGTTGTTTCTGGCAAACTGTAATCAGAGTTATTTGTATTTCTTCTCGATCTGGTTTCCTGTCTTCATTTTGATGAAAGAAACATTGTCTGTTGATCTCAAAACATTGTGTACTGTTGATTTAACTACAGTTCAGCTTCAATTCAGTTTTGATTTTTGAATGGATGTGTTTCCTTGCAATGAACATTGAATAACTGCACATCGTTCTCTTAGTGTTGAACTCTTGTGCCCACTGTTTTGTTTTCCTGTTCATTGCTCCTTATTATTGAGATACTTTGAGTGTGTTGAATAAGTATTTTTAGCAATCCAAGCTATTTACTCCCTTCTTGGTAAAATACATCAATTTTGATCTCAGCAATTACAACATTTACAGACTTTAAATACTTGGAAACAAATACTTTCAAGCAATGAACTAATTCAGAAACGTGTACTGTAGTGATTTCAACAGTAATTAACACACTTCTATGAAACATATTTTTCAGTAGAACATTCAGACTAGTGCCTAAATATTTATAAAGATTCTGTTGAAAAAAAATACTGTATTATGTTAAAAATTTCTTGTATATTTTTTTAAGAATCTTTAATAATAAGAATATAAGAATGTATTTCAACTGAACAGTACAAAATTTCATTATTTTTCTAAAGACCTTTATGAAAACAATATGTAACAAAAAAAAAATAGAAACTAAGTTTATCTAAATTCTAAACTGAAATGTTATATTATCAAGTAAATTACAAACTGAATGAAATATCAAAATTATATAATAAGTACCAGTATCCGGCATTTATAAAAACTTTTTTGAAGATTATCTTATAATATAATCAAGATGGGTTGATGATAATAATAATAATCACAGAGCACAAACAATTAGTAGTTGAAAGTTGAAATTTTGTATACAGTTAGGTTACGTCATGTAAATGCATGCTAAGAAGGGGATTTTTGGAAATTTCCCCCCATAGGGAAAGGGAGGGTTAAGGAAAAGAACTCTACTAGGCTATTTTAGATGTGACTGTTTGCATTTTTGAGGAAAATCGAACATATTTTTAGACCCATCTAAACATTCTCCAATTAGCCTCAGAAGAGGAGAACCTAATTCTTGCACCTGGTGAAAACGGGTAAGATTGGCTATGTAAGATAACCTTTGTAGTTATATAAACCAAATTCTATAATGTAATACAAATGTTAGAAGTACGAAATTAGATAATCTTAATATTTGTTCTTATTTTTTGACCGAGCAATGCCAGGCTTACCTGCTAGTTTTTATATAATTTTTATATTTAACATTTATAACAAATAATTAAAAAATACAGACTTGAATATATTGATCTGGAATATCATCTCCAAAAGTATTTTATTTTAAATTCTTCCATTGTTAATCATTGGTCATTATTATTAATACATAATCTATTAATTGTAGGTAAAATTACTAGTGATTTAATGAGGAATTTTTTTAGCCATTCTTAATAATAATAATAACAATTCTTAATAATTGTTTTTCTGTTTATATTAATGAAACAGATACTGTATTTTAATTCAGTTTCTCTATGACCTAAAAATGTACTTTTAAGGATTTTTACTTTATTATTTAAATATGAAACTGAATTGGTGAAACTATTACCTAATACTGTCTGCTGTAGGTTATTATTTGTAGGTTTTTCTTTCACACGTTCTACACAAATGTGAAATAGAAAAGTTAACAAATAAGATGAAATGATTTGAATCTCTCCCAATAAATAATGTAATTCATTTTGAAGAATTATTTGTTATATGTTTCTTTATTTTATATTATGACTTTTATATCTTTACAGATAAAATGAGAGAGTTTTATTATAACATAGACAAATGCTGATTGACTCTGTTCTTAAAAATATAAGGCTCATAACTGAACAGTTGAAGATTATACATAACACCAAAGTGCGAAATCTAAAACGTAAAGCCTCACTAAAAAAAATAAATGAATACTAGATAGAAAAGACAACATGGATTTATTAAAAATATTTTTTTCTGGAAATTTTTTCTGTTTGATAATGGTTTTTTGGTTAGATAATGGTTTTTATATCTGAAAATGTTTGCAGAAATAAGGTATGAGAATTCTTAAGCTAATTGAATTGGTAGTCAAGTAGTAATAAAATTTTATTTCATAATATCAATAAAATATAAGAAGTATTCAAAAAGTTCTAGGAATAAGTCAAAAATTTCTTTATTTAATATTTATCAAAATAAATCAACATCCTGAGCTTCAACACACTTTCTTCAACCATTTTTCCAATTTGGAAATCATTTATAATGATTTGCTTCTTTTTTGGTAAAATTTTCTTCCATTCATTGTCTGAGTTTCAACAGACTCAAATCATTTTATTTTTAAAGTTGAACAGGACTACTCTTCTTCTACAAACACCTTATTCCTCTATTTAGTCTCTAATGCCTTTTTTCTTTATCAAAAGCTGACAAAACTTTAAAAGAAAAATGGTTTCAATCAATAGAACTCATACAAGATGAATGGAAGAAAGTTTTGCCATCCCTGAAATTAACCAATTTTTCTAAATGTTTCTTGAACTGAAAATATTTCTTTATTAATTTTATTATTATTCATTTTCGGATCCATTCTTTGAACTTTTTGAACACACCTTTGTAGAATTATCATTTAGCTGTGTCAAAAAAAACTTCTAAATTGCCATAAACTATTTCACAGTAATTAAATAATCTGTGCTTTTCATATTGAGTTTATAAAAATAAGGTATTTTTTTTTATCCAGTCAAGAAAATAATTATTATTTTCGAGAGAGAAACTTTGCAACCAGGATAGCATAATCTAAAATGTATTTTAAAGAATAAAAATGTAATAAAATACTTAGAAAATAAACATTTTTAAATTTTGTCCCATCATTTCTCAAAATTTAGAACAATTTAAATAATTCTTCTGCTAACTGGTTAGAATTTGAAGTAAAATATTGACAGTGTACCCATTAAAAATGCCTTATGATTGATTGGAAAAAAGATTCTAACAATTACAATACAATCCGCATACTAAATAAAGCTTATTTGCCACTGTGTTTTTCTTACTTTCAGTCAGTCAATAAATGTCATGTGGAATGTGTTCAATCTTTGTTATGAATAGAAAGATCTTATAATTAAAGATATAAAACATCAGAGTTTTTGGATGCTTTATGTAGTTTAAAATAAATCTTTAAATGAAAGATTTATAAATAAATCATACATACTTTTGAGTAAGCCTGTTCTGTCTCCATAATTAGTTTATCATATTGGTCACGAATTTCCAACTTCTTTTCCAAACGCTGATTAACTTGACCAAGTTGTTCGTTCAATGATCTGATTTCATGTTGCAATTTTGCCTTATTTTCTTCCAGGTGAAGAATTTGTGTTTGTAATTCTTTTCTATGCAATGTTAACTTTTCAATATCTATTAAATAATTAAAACTGTTTTGATTATTCACATATTTTCACACAAAATTATAAAGTAGCTTTTCAAAGAAAAAGTTATATACAGTAAAACCTTGTTAAGTCAAAATTTAAGGGATTAAAATAACCCAGCTTTGAGTTAGGTTTAATATCCGATTTTCTGACATTTTTTTTTATGACCATAAATTTCCTGTTATCAAGCCATTTCTCATGAATCTGTTCACAGAATGATTATAAAATTGTGTAGTGTTCTGGTTGGAATACAAGGAGGAAACTTGACAATGGATTTTCAAGGCAGCCCCATTAATTCATATCAGAATGCCAGAAACATACTGTATCAGTAAAAGGATATCAACACAAAGTTATAATGATATGGTGGTGTATCTGGCATGGAGTTATAGTGTCAGCTTATCTTAATCATCTGTAATCACACAGAATATAAGAAAATGAAGGTCACAGTCCTATCAAAGATAGAAGGTATACAGGAAAATAGATTTAAGAAAAGGCATTCAACTTAAGGTGACCATATTATATGGAAAACCTGTATACTGTGCACATGTTTGACTTAATGCTGTTCAACTTACAAGTTAATGAGGTTTTACTGTATTAAAAACATCCTTGTTGCAATTTTTTATTATTTATAATGCTGTATAAGAAAATTTTATTATATTTTTATTAAAAAAATTAATTTTATTAACTAGATTTTTAAACAAAAATTGAATTATAACCAGTAGAGTACTGTTTATGTCTTAAGAGATTAGACAAAAAAGACACAATCAAAATGTAGTCATGATGCACACAAGATGGCAGAGCTGTCTTTGATAAACTGTAATATTATGGCTTTTATGAATATCTTAATTTTTATCTTTTATTGTACATTTTTATTATTCAAAAACAAACAATTCTTTCTTTCTGAACTGTTCTGCTGGAACCAGAAACACGTAAAATTACTCTATACTGTGATCACTTCAATTAGCAAATCTATTACCATTCTTTCCCCTTTGAGACAAAATACAGCTAATAGAAATAACTTAACACTAGTTAAATGAGGAATAAAAAAAGAACAGAAGAATAAAACAAAGAATGCAATCTGGAAATTCTGTATATGTTTTCCTAAAGAACATTGCATTATTATTATTATTTTTATCATAAAGGAAATGGCATAAAAATGAAACTCCATAGTGATTTTGGAAGTATAAATGAAATATTTCACCAGTGAAAGGAATAGAGAAGTTTTGGGCTAACACAAGATGATGCGTAAACTGTAAAATGTATGTTATACCATCATACTGAAATTTACAATAAATCTATTATATTGTAAATTATATTTTTTACAAACCATTTAAACTAGAAAAATTATCTTCCTAATAAAAACTTAAAAAAATTGCAAGATTATAAAATATCATTGTAATGATGAAATTCAATTATAAAGTCTAATTTCACAAAAAATTTCATTATTCAAAGTAGTTTTAGTTTATGTATCTATCATCACTAGAATTTCTAGCTAGTCTAAATGGCCCAATGTCTATAGTACTAAAGAAAAATAAAATTCATATGTTACAGAAACTCCAGAAATACGTTTTAATAAACAAACATTTATTAAGCTTAAAAGATGTACAAGTTAATTGGAACAAAGCTAAAATTCTTAGATCTGCCAATGACCTTAATTCCCTTAAATACTTTGGAGGTGTTAGAAATAAACAAAGCTAATAGAAACAGCCATGTTAACTACCTTCCAGCAGTAACTGTCTAATAAACAAACATTTTTAGCTACTTTTGGTAGACCCGCATTAAGTGTATTCTGTGTTATAAATTAGTTCCAGCTTACAAATTCAATAAACTTATTTTGCTGGATTTTCAGTAAGATGTGAATTTTATTTTCCTCGACATTTCCTCCAGTTCTGCAATAACTTCTTTATACATTAGTAGTAAAAGTATCAACCTGCCCCTCCAAAGAATCTAAGATTAAATCCAAATTAAAACTCAAATTTTCACAGCCGATCCGACCCAGATACGTTAAGATCGGAACGATGCTGCCAGGCAATGCCCCTTACCCTAGTGAAAAGCTATGGAGAACTTTAATAACTATGGTTATAAGAGTTGATAAATGCTGTCCATTCATCACCTCTTATAACCACAGTTATTAACATTTTCTAGACCGCTACGGTTATAACTTTTCACTACTTGGGAATTTTAAAATCAAAGTAATTACAAATTTATACAATCATAATAATTATTACTGTCCTAGGCCACTGAATCAAGGCTTGGGGTAGATACTATTATTACAATTAGACCTTACTTTTCATATTATAAGAATGCAAATACTTTCAGAGGTTTTGTTTACAGGTAATTCTTTATTCTGATTGATATTATTCCTATGGGCATGGTCGACAGCTCTGATAAGGCCACATTTCACCTCGAAACTGTTAAATATATCTACTGTATTTGTATAAAAATTAAAATTTAATTTAGAATTTAATATTTTAAATTAAAATTTTAACTCACACATGACCAATTCATTATTGTACGTTTGTAAAGTAGCACCATATTGAGACATTTGGGCATAAGAAGTTTAAAATTTCATACTTGTCTTTTTCACTAAACACGCCTAAATTTGAAATTTTAAAAATTTCAATTTCGCTGTTTATCGTGACTCCTCCTAGCGGTTGAAATTTGTAATATTAAAAACTTAATAAATATTTGATAATTATATTATTAATAATAATATGCACAGAAATTTAAAAATTAATTTAACCAAAAAGTAATTTTTATTTAAATATATTGAATATGATAAATTAATATATTAAGAAACAAATTTAATGGCGCTCTTTGAAAAACTAACGCCGAGGGAAAGGTTCAAAAGTCGTGATTCATATAAAAAATTTGATTTAAATGTAAATTAAAATAATAATAATAATCATAGAACTTTATTTAAAAATCAAGAAAATACATTAAACACAAATCGAAAATCACGGTAATGACCCGCGCCAAGTAAAAACTGACTGATTATAGCCGCGTTGCACTGTAAAACAGTTTTAATCTATATATATAACCCATTCAACGTGTCCGTCTGTCCCGTAACCGTTTGATAACGGCCACTAGAGGCGCCCCTATCGTGTGTCATATTTAAAACATTCAAATTAAATTAACGATTTTAATTATTATTTAAATGAACAATATAAATTATTATTATTCATTTGGCCAATAAATTATTATTTGGTCAATATAACAATATAAATAATTCATTATATTTGTAATAGGAATTTATTATCGTCACGGAATGCCTGTAATGTTCACTAGGGGGCGAATAACGAAAAACCAGATAGATTTGAACCACTACGATAAAACGATAAGGTTTGAAATAGTTAAGCTAATTTTTAATATAATAATAGAAACCTTTCATGGCTTTCATATATTAAGTGCATTAAACATCCTCATAGGAATTTGTAATACTGCTAAAACGCCGACTAGGGGGCGGCCCAGGCTACTAGTACAGCAGAATATGCAAACCAATGACATAGTCCGTTTCAAATAAAACGGATTACGTCACTGGTTTGCTCATACCTCTGAATTACAGCCGTTTTACAAGGCAACCAGCCCTATGTAGACAGGAATCAGAGTTTTCGATTTTCGGGGTTGGGGAAATCCACCCCCAAACGCCAAAAGTAATTCCGAATATCTCGTTCGAAAGATAATTGTTTTCGTAGTTAGTGTGCAAAATTTCAGGCTTTTCTATAAAGTTGTTGCAGAACTATAAGCGATTGAAAAATGCAAACATTGTTCAAAAAAACTGTATCTTCTTTTTCTGGTCTTGCAGACACTCCTAGACGAAAAAGAAAAATAAATAGATATTGGTGTGTCATACGAGCAGTTAGGTACTCATCCAAGTTCTGGATTTCCCGTGAAAAGGGACTCTGTTTTTTAAGTAATTATGGCCCTATTGTTGGTGTTTTACGACTCGTCTCGATCCCGAGTCCCCAGAGAGATAAGCTATCACCTTAACCACTCAACCATTAGGACGTTCGTTATTATAGTCAATATGGTACAATTATTGACATTACATGATGGCCTAACCCTATTAAGAATTTACAATAACAGCAGTTTAAAATAAATATAAAATAAATAAAATACGCGTGCGGTGCAAGGCGTGCACCGCACGCGGGCGGCACGTCCAGGGGGCGGCAAATCGAGCGATCGGTCACGTAATATTCAAAGTCATTGTCATAATACCCATCATACTTATAGCATAAGAAATGTCTTCGCATGGAGAAAAAAATCCGACCGGCGCGTAATTACTATATTTTTATTTATATTATAGCGTTAACAGCGCCTCTATTGGCATTTATCAGAATTAAGATGCCATGCGAATCGTCTGTCGCCAGGTAGAACCATCCGGCGGCGCCCGAAAGCCAAGTACCCATAGTCGTGCTTATGACAGAAGTTGACAGGACTGGCGAAATAGGGAATTCCCACAGAGCTTCCTTCTCAATTTGCACTTGTTCGCATTCGAACAGCTCTATCGCATATCAAATTGCAATTATTTTGTTAATAATTCTTCTCACATGAGTTTAAGTATAATTAATGATATTTTAACTTGGTTAGGATTAAATCTGAAGCTTAAAGACGTTTGGAGTAGTGAAACAGACATTGAGGGTATTGATTTGTTTAATGAAATCAATACTTTAAAGTCGCATTTTCCAGAAAACCAGTCTAATGATCCACAAACCCTCTTACAATATGACTTAATTTCAACATTTTTCCGAACACAGCAATAGCACTAAGAATATTACTTACATTGCTGGTTTCAGTTGCATTTGATGAAAGGTCCTTTTCAAAGTTAAAAATTATATAAAAAACTATTTAAGATCAACAATGCACCAGCAAAGACTAAGTAATTTAGCTATAGTTTCAATTGAACACGAGATCTTAGCTTGGATACAAGAAAACTGATAGCAGATTTCGCAAACATAAAAGCAAGAAGAGTTCTGTAGATAAATATTTACATGCTTTTACACTTAAGTAAACAAAAATAACAGTAATAATAAATAGTTTTTCTTTGTAAAGTATTTATTTTCTTTTTTCACACCCTTATGAGACAACACTAAAGAACCTTTCTGGCACGCTCAGCGTAGGTAGTCGTAGTTAGACAGGGTGCGTCATAATCGGTATTGCACACGGGCGTTCAAACAGCTAGCGGCGCCCCTGAATATAAGACATATAATGATTTTAAATATTTTCAAATCCCAAAACTTCTTGCAAAGTAATAAGGATAACAATTTATTATATGTAATTTTTATTTAATTTTATCAAATGCAGTCTTTCCTCTATATTCTATAATTTTCCTTCTACTGATAATATCCCATCTATAACGGAATGTTTTACGTTCTCTGATTTTAAATCCATGGAGAAGTTGGAGTTCGAAATTCAATTCACTATTACCATTCTTTTGTTTGGCATTTATCTGTAGAAAAATATTAATGATATTCAAATATGAGTTAAAATATTAATTGAAACTCTTCACTTACTATGAGTTTGTTATTTTCGACTAAAACAAAAACATCTTCTTCGGAGAATTCGCTGACATCGATGCGTATTTTGAAATTATCATCCTCAAATTCCCCTTCCAAATTTGAATCCATTTCGTGAATCCCATCACTCTGTATCTGTTCTTTGGGAGGTGATAACAAGGATCGTGGTTGTATTTTAAGAATTTGAATTTTATAATCGTCTAGCTCTTCAGAGAATTTTCTTATTTCTTCTTCTATTCTAATCAAATCATTTTTTATCTTTTCGCAAAATGTCCCGAATTCTTTCTTAAAATTTTCGTATTGTTCCATGCTTGAAATTAGAATATATTTTACTATATCGTATGGTCGAAGGACTTTATATATACCAATCGAAAAATTAATTTAAAATAGTTCATTGTTTCAGTAACACATACTGACCCCTGAATATCCTTATGTAAGGATTTTTATTTATATTGAATTCAAAGAAAAATAATTGGAGATAACGGTGTAAAAAAATTTTTAACTTTCCTTGAACTTACCTGTCAAGTATTCAATTTATAAAATACTGAAATATTCAATTATTGTGAAAAATGCATTGCAGCTATAGGATAACAATGAAATTTAATCCTTTTATAATGAAATAATTAAATTTATGCATTCTTGCACCAGTCACACACACATTTCATAATAAATGAAATTACAATAGTTTATTACGTGATGATCCATTTTGTGTACTCGTAATCTTTCATACAAAATAGAATATTACAGTGAAATGCAATGCGCAGTTCAAGTATTATAAAAACACTTATGCAAATATAAAATGTTATAGTGACGAGTTTATTATTAAACCGAAATTAAACGAAAATAAATGGAGATATTTAAGGATATGAATGATTATATCGTAAAAGTATTAAGTATAAAAAAAGAAAACAGGCTTGAAGTTGTTGTTAGTGAAATCAAATTTCGATGATCAATTTGAAGGAGTGTAACAAGACCGGAGAGAAGTAAAATTGGGCAAGTGTGGAATTTCATTCCTTCCTAAGTTGTTATAATATATATATTAACTTATGTTTATTCAACAACTAGCAGACCCCGCCATGCGTTGTTGTGGCTCAAAATGTATCTATTATAAATTTATAACACTTCCCCCGTGGGGGGAAATTTTTCGAAAAATTTCTTCTTAGTGTACATTCTCTTGACGTACCCTATTAAAACGCTAAAACGCAAAAACCCGCATCTAAAATAGTATAAATAGAAGCAGAGTTCTTTACCGTAAGCCTTCTCCTAACCATCTCCCTTCAGTGGGGTTGAATTTATATTATATAAAAACACGTGCGTATTCGAATGCAGCGTTGTGTCAAAATTTCAAAGGAATCGGTAGGAACAAACGAACATTACATTTTTATTTATATAAATAGATAGAAGATGATCCGCTTTAGTTCATCCTCACAGAAAAGCAAACTTAGGTATCATACTCGTAGCGCCATCTGTTGGACATAAAAGCCTTAACCTAGATTATATCTTTTAATTTATATGAATGTTTAACGGAATAATATACAGCCTATGTCCATCCTGAAGTTCCATTTTAAATATTGGTGAAAGAATTTTTGAAATCGGATGAGTAGTTTCGGAGATTACCTGCTGCATACAAACTTACATACTTACAAACATTACCTCTTTATAATATTAGTATAGATTAAAACTTCTCAACAAATAAAACATCACTATGCATTTCGACAACAAAAGAATTAAAACTAGATTCACCTGGTTTTAATTTACAACCTTTATAACAGACACATAACACCATTAAAAAACTACTGATTTTACTATCTCCCTTTTTTACAATATTATATAAAACATGATTCACTACCCTAAGATTAGCATAGATATAAATGATATGTTACATACAGTTTTTCACAAAATATATTCGTTTCTTGCCATCATTCCATTACAGTACTGTACTCCATTGTCTTTCTTTCGCATTTTTCTCACTACAACCTACTAAAACAGATCTTCCGCATCAACTAAATTGCCCTTTTTTACAGCTTATATTTATAAATCTTAATTGTGAGAACGTTAGGCTAAAAATTGATTACAGAGATCATTTTCAAATAAAAATATTACTGTTTTTAATAGACTCGCTACAGAATAAATACTGTATTGATAAATTAGTTACAAATTACGGCGAATATTGAAGATTGTTACAGCATTTTATAGACTATAAAATGAGCAGCAATTTCCTAATTTATCTAGAAATGTTTTGGGATATCATTGAGGGTGTTTAAGCTGCACTTGTGGTGTTCGTTTAACTATATATCGATCTTCCAATTAATTAATTCTCTTTAATATCATGTAGATACGTACAGTATATTATTACGCTGAAGTGTAATAATATAAAACAGTTCGTAAGGACTTTCCCACAAGGACCAGTTTCAATTAGTGAGGAATTTCTATGGGAAACTGGCCCCTATTTAGGTATTATCAATGACCTGGGATAGACGACGAATATAAATTTGGACAAGGAATCAAATACAAGGATTACACAATAGAAACTGAACAGTTTTTTAATACAGTGCAACAAAAACGGATTACAACGTAAGAAATTTGTCGAACCCATTCGATAATTTTGAAGAGCCCTGTATAGGCCTGTATATGAAGTTTGTTAACTTTCTTTAATGAAAGCTAAAGAGGGACTTCAAAGTACTGTTCATGAGTGTCCAAAATACATCTGAAAAGTTAGTAAAGGTTTAATCCAGCCGAAATGGTAAGAACATTAATCTGCAGTTCCGAGAGATACAAGTTGGATTCCTGACCGGACTCGGAAATTTCTATGGATTTTTATGGTCTTGGATGTGTAGTACTTGATCTTTTACTTCTCCAGCTATCTCACTATGGGCTTAGACCAATGGTATATATAAAGTGACAAATTTTTTTTCAGATTTACGTAACAAAATATTTGCACAATGATAGATATGTACATGTAAGATGAATTCCTTCTCAAATTATTCCTCTGGATTTAGAACAGGATTAAAAATTATCAAAAGATGACAGAACATTTCCTTAAGTATACCTCTAAGTAGTTGAAAGGTATAAAAAGAAAGAGTTAGGAGGAGATTATGCAGGAATATCAAAAAAGTGCATGCTCATGTTCCATTTTCTAAATCTACTTCCCATTTCTTTCTTGGGAGGATGAGAGAGAAAGAGAAAAAGAGAAAAAATTAAGAGGAAAAATGGGATTGTTTCCTTTAAACAACTCCTAAAGAAAGAAATTTTAATATTGTACACAGAATATGATTGCAAGACGTAACGGTACCTTCCTTAATGGTGTTGCTTATCAATTAATATTTAAATGTGAGATCCTTTAAGAATATTATACACTTATTTTTATAGGATCATAACTGTCGCATTCGTGTGACACATTTTATCGATTCAATCCATCTACAGATAGAGAATTTAGATTATATCACGAATAAGAATGACACACTACTAAACAATTAATATTGAGTATATGAACATTTCGATAATGGTGATTAATTTTGATTTTACAGATTAATAATATCCTTTAGAAGTTTGAATGGACGTAACAGTTATCATTTCTCTACACACGATACTTATTGTTCTTCTTTCTTTTAATTATTTTCCTTTGTCTAATCAACTTTTTAGTCTTCTGCCCCATATATTGTCTATGCACAAAATTCGTTCTAGAAAAAGAAACGTTCATTATGTTTTTAAGTAGGCCAATTGGTTAATAGAAGAATTTATATGTCGAAGCAAGCTTATAGGACAATTTTTCTAAGCTTATCTATAGTAATTCAACTATAAAATTTATTAGAAAAATTATATTTAAATTTTAAACGATGTTAAATAGAGATAAAGTAGCAAGAATGTTTTTTTTTTCCATTTCTCTTGAATAAAGATTTTTTGCAAGATTTTTATCTTGCAGATGTAATCTCATATAAGTTCTAGTTTTAATTGATTGATAAAACTGTATTTTTGCATATATTTATAGTACAGTTTTTAATGTAGATTGTAAATTGTGCAAATGGAAAGGTGGAATATCCAAAGCATCCCACGAGAGATTATAGGTTTGTTCTCTGAAAAAGACAATAGATTCCTAAATAAATCATGGCTTCATCTTCTAATCACAAGTCATAACGTATACATATGTATAAAGAAGTATTTATCCTTTAAATTTACTTAAAAACTACTTCTTAAACGAATTTTTCAGAATTTTCATCATTAAAACTTTTGTATTATTTTCCTGGTTTTTCACAAAGCATCAGTTAATAATCTTGTATATAAAAATATTGAATTTTATTATAATTAACCCCGTGTTATTACAGAATAATTTTTCTCGTAGAGATATTGTGGTAAGAAATTTGATCAAATAATTATCCTAGTGGAATCGAGGACAATTCAACACATACGAGGTCAACGAATGCACGGATGAACACTCGCGCACTCAATTACTCGTTTACTTCTTAGAATTCATGTATACATTAAATACAGGCATCTACAGAAAAACTTTATATAAAATATTTTTCTTAAATCCCGCTTCTTCTTCTTCTTCTTTTTTTTTTATTTATCGGTAAAAATCTGATGACCTTGCAATTCGTAAAAGAAAGAAACTTAATAATTAAGTTGCACAAAAACAAAATGGCTACCTGAATGTAGCTTTCTTTTCTACAAAGGGCGAGAGAATTTTTCGTCTTTTTCCTAAAATAAACTTTTTTCCTGGCTGATAGTTTTTCTGTAATGGCTCCTTCATACAAAAATTTCAGTACCTGTTGATCTTACAAATATATAGGCCCTGTTTCTTTCATTATATAGGCCTATATACACACACGCATATAGAAACAACAATTCTTTATGAGGATATTTTCCAATCTTCGAAGTAAATCCTCTTGAAAAAAATCCTGTTAGAAATCCTAATCCATAAATAGTTCGGTATTAATTGGTGCTGCATTATATACAACAATAAAGAAATTATTTACAAGGGGTACACCGCGAATTTGAATTATTAATAAATGCCAATACATTCTGTCTTTTCACATTAGGAATTTTTCCTAATCATAATTCACCAGATCGTATCTAATATGTTAATTATTATTAATAGAGAACCTTGTCACCATATTTTATGCACTTTCTCCTATACCAAATGCATAAAACATAAATACAAAGCGTGATATATACTGTATATAACTTAATATTCGTAAGATAAAATTTCAATTATCAATTTAAGAAATAAAATAAATGCCCTAGATTTTAATCGTGTGGCCTACTGCGTGTTATTTACATTGACTCACTCTTCTACATTGCATTAGTATTAAAAAGAAAAAAAAAACAGACTTTGATTTTCATAAATTTCAAGGTGAAGATGGAACCCATTTTTTGTACTACAGATAGAAAAAAAAAATTCAACAGTTATGTTACAAAATCGCTAACAGATGGCACCACTAAGCGCCGTGGCACACTTCAAGAATAATTCAACGTAAACACATTTTATAACGAATAATTCTCCGTAATATTAAAATAGATTTAATGTCCGACTACGTTTAGACGACAGTCGCGTGTAATATATTAATATTACGAAAGGAATCAGTCCATTGTTAAGTTTAGGGGAGTCCGACTTTTGAATCGGTTTCGTTCGCTTGTAGTTCTGGCTTTAAGGTTAAATTTATGTTAAATTTTAAACACGTTATATTAAATTTTAGGTTGTAAATAAGGGGTTTAAGTTACCGAAAACAAACACTTAATTTTTCTTACTAGATGGCGCAACATTTCCTGTATTAGAAAAGTGTTACGCGTGCATGGAGAATGAATCAGACCAGTTAGTCACTTGGCAAATTCTAAAAATAATATATTAAAAATTCTTTAAACTACCGGTTATTTATTTACAGCTAATATTAATAAAGTAGTGTATTTATAAACCGTATTAACAAATAAATAAATAAATAAATAAATAAAATATATAATAATAAAAATTATAATCTTTTCCTTATCAGTCGTG